AGGTAATAATAATAATAAATAGCATTTATACTGCGCATTTCCATTTTCTAAAAGATGCTCAATGCGCATTACAACGAAAAAGACATCACGTCTTAAAAATTAATTGACAAGTGCGTACATAAAACAACGTATTATACATATAATATAAATGCATATGTGTAAAATTATATATGAGAAAAATAGTCTCGCAGTAAGGTTGAAAATGTGTTCACTAAAAAAAAAAAAAAAAAAATACAATGCAATAAAAATTCAGGAACGGTCACAATAAAGTTGAAACATGAGTAACTAGAAACATTGATTAAAACATTAATTCTATACAGATAGATTATGATGATCATTGTTGTTGTCTCCTCCAGACACAATTGACAGCAATGTGGAGGCCGCTGCCAGTCACGTGGAGGAAGGCAACGAGCAGTTGGTGAAGGCTGCTGAGTACCAGGTGGGTGGTTGGTGGGTGGTTGGTGGGTGCTCGGGTGTGCTTTGCTCCTTCTTTACTATCAAACATCTATCGTCCTTATCTCTCCTCCTCCTTTCCCATCAAACGTATCATCCTTATCTCTCCTTCATTCCTGTCAAACATCTATCGTCCTTATCTCTCCTTCTTTCCTGTCAAACATCTATCATCCTTATCTCTCCTTCTTTCCTATCAAACATCTATCGTCCTTATCTCTCCTCCTTCTTTGGTGTTTGTTACTGTCTTGCAACACCTCTAATCTTCAGCAATTATATGACCGACTTGTGTTGCAAGTGCTGTCAAAGTTTATAACACAAATTAAAGCGTTGTATCTATACTATACTGCAGCATACTGCAACTCGACAAGAAAGCTTGTGTTTGGGTCTCAAAAGCTTTTGGCGTTATTTAAAAAAATTATAGTTGTTCTGTGCCAAGGTCTGAATGAAAATAGTCCCGTTTGTGTGTGTGTGTGTTAGTGTGTGTGTATAAATATATATTGCATGAGAAGAAAGGAGGTAGTAAGAAAGGTTTTTAAAATGGGTATTCCAATGTAATGTGCTATGAGCTACTTTTTTGGAAATGCACTATATGAATGTTATATATAATTATTATTATTTACAACATGTTTGTAAGAACTTTTTAGAATGCTTATTTTTCTGAGAGGTGGAGATTTCTCAAATTTCGGTTGGTTTTTCTTTTTAGTACTCGATGCCTTTAAGTTAAAAAACAGTTTGTTTTTATTTTCATGTACGATTTGCTGAGATACTTTTAGTTGTTGCAGGAGTTCACAACCTCGGTTTATTTTCATGTTGCTTTTGTTCCTTTGAAAGGGTTCGTATCTCGTTTACTTCTACTCCTGAATTTGACACTTTGCCGTCACATTTCGCCGATCGGCGATGTTAACCACCCAGTTTCTTTGCTTTTTCCCCAAAATGCTTTTGCCTTTGATGGCAAGGGTTTTTACTATCTGAGCCTTGTGATGGCAAAGTGTTAAGTTACTCAAAGAAGTGAGAAATCCTTGGAATGTTTGGTTATCATGGCAATAATTCTCTCCAAAGGTGTGCTAGTTTCTCGTGTTTAGCAGTTAATCTTTTTTCAGTTCAGTTATAAAACAGTTCTGATGACTAAGAATCCCACACAATGACTTACATATGTGGTCTTGTCGTCTCTTTCCTCAGCGGAAGTCGAGGAAGAAGATGTGCTGTCTGGCTGTGATTCTCCTTGTCATCGCCATCATCGTCACCATCATCATCGTGGTTGCAATCAAATCCTAAGTCTCGGAATTGTCCCGATTGCTTTTGCGCTCGTTGCTGAATCGATCAAACGGATTGACGTTCCCGAAGATCAAGAGAATGATGTTGAAAAGAAGTATTGAGGACGGATTCAGATTAGGAATGGAGTGTTGGGTGCAAGATTTCAGGAAAATATGTTGTTGCCAAAGGCGGCTTCAAGTTGTGTCAACTGATTTTTTTTTCCTGTAATTTATAAGCATCGATGCTTAATCATTCCACATAATATTCTTGTTTTGTTTTTGTTTTTTTATTTGTATTTTCGTTTTTGTACTATTTTTATCTTCATGAAGTGGGAGATTTTTAGTTAAAATGAAAATGTTTTTTGTTTGTTTTTTAATACCTTTTCAATTGGAAAATCGATTCCCGATTTCTTGAGCCTATGATATTTTTATGAAATGTTCCTGTTTGTGTTTTGTACTTGGACTTGCTGCAGCTATGTCGTGTGTTGTTTATGACTCTCAAGGTCGTTGTTCATGCTCAGAAAGTATGTGAGTGGGTGGTTGGCAGGTGCTCTGGTGTGGTTTGCTCCTTTTTTCCTATCAAACATCTATCGTCTTTATCTCCCCTCCTTCTTTTTTGTGTTTGTTACTCTCTTGTAACACCTCTAATCTTCGGCACTTATATAACCTTATTGTGTTGCAAGTGCTGTAAAACTCTTACTGAAACTAAAAAAAGAAAGTATGTGATCCTGAAGAGGAAGAACATACGTGTGTCATATTTGTGTGAATATTTTTCTGAACAAGCAAATGATTACTGTTATCTGCTTAACTCGAATATTGTTTATCGGAAAAAAATGGCGGAAAAAGAAAAAATTAAATCCCCGATTTATTTTTCTACTATTTAAGCAACATCAATAAGCCTGAAACTGTGTTAAACAGAAAAAAATCCAGCGGTCCCGCATATTTTGGTTTAAGCAGACTCCTCTGTATGTAGCTAGCAGTGAGGTCAGAGGTTATGAGTTATTTTGTTTGTTTGTCACTCTCTTGTGACCCTCTATTTCCGGGGTGCCTTGATAGCTGAAGCAGACTTTGTGCTGTTGAAGCTAGAGAGGTGAGCAGAGTAAGTCTTATTCCCTGTAAGGACTTCTCTGCTAACGACCACCCTTTGGCGCTCATATGACCGTATGCAGTTGCGAGCGCCGTAAAACCTCTACTAAAACTAAACTAAACTAAAAACGGTTGCCAAGATATGCTCAGAGAAGAGTCGTTTTGACCTCGTCATTTTTTATGAGTTTTCAATACAATGCAATGGCTCTGTTGTTATATCCCTGTGTGTGAATGCATTGCTATTGCAGGGATGAAACTGAAATCGTATTATTTATTTGATGAATTGGAGGGCAATGATTGAAAAAGAGATGAAACATTATTGTGTGTGTGTGTGG